TACAGGCGTGAGCCACAGCACCCGGCCAGAATGGACATTGTTAATGTCAATTGGTGAAACTGGAATACTGATAGTGGCTTTTTTAAAAGTATTGTATCAATGTTAAACTGATTGAAGTTTATGTGGTTATGTAAAAGCATACCTCTATTCGTAGGAAATAAACACTGGTGTATTTTAGGGTAAAGGACCATATGTATGCATTTAATCTCAAATGAATGAGAGACAGAGACAGAGACAGGGCAATTATAAAGCCAGTTAACAATTGGGGCAAATGAAATATAGATGTTTAATATAATATTTTTATTCATATAATTTTTCTGTAAGTTTGAAATTATTTTCAAATATAAACTTAAAATACACATTAATAGCTAAAGGAGTATTCAGAGTCCTGTGTTCTGGCATTGTGCTGCTGTACATCAGAGCTCCAGACAACTCTAAGAATAAGGCCATGCCTTGCTGAGGAAGCCTGTCTTGGCATTGGAAAAAGCTGAGCTTGTACTATTTGTATAAAGAGCAAAAGAACGAAGTGTTCTGTGACAGTTGTGAAGTTGTAGGGGTCTTAACTCGAATATTATCCTATATTTTCTGTTCAGTATATATTTGTCTTATAAAAATCAACTGTTAAGCAGACGAAACAATAAATAATAATAAAAGGAAGGCTCAGTGTGGTGGCTCACGCCTAAAATCCTAGCACTTTGGGAGGCAGAGGCGGGAGGATCACTTGAAGCTAGGATTTCGAGATCAGCCTGGCCTCTCTAAAAATACAAAATTTAGCCCGGCGTGGTGGCACACACCTGTGGCCCCAGCTACTCAGGAGGCTGGGGCGTGAGGATTGCTTGAAGCCAGGAGGTGAAGGCTGCAGTGAGTGGAGAGCGTGCCACGGCATTCCAGCCTGGATGACAGAGTGAAACTCTGTCTCAAAGAATCATTATGATCATCAGCAGCAGCAACAACAAAGGAAGAAGAGAAATTCTCCTTGCTAAAGCAGAGAATTCATAAAGGGAGTTGTCACAAGGACATGAAATTTCCTTTTGGTATAGATTGTTTTAATTGTAAGATATAGGGAGAGCAAAGAAAGCCTTCGTTTTTCTACCGCTACAATATCATCTTAACAAGCTCCTGGAGTGTCAAACGCAGGCTGAATTACTCTTTTAGGACACTCAGTAAAAGGGGTAGAGATTACAGGGAAATTTGAAGGAGGCTAATGTTTCTACTCTTTTAAATCTGACAGCAGATCATTTCACGATGCTGTATACTCAAAGTTTTGATACTATTTTTTCACTGCTCTGGAAGGCAGCCTTAAGGAACGTCTTCCTATGCAAACTGGTAGAACCATTCTGACCACCGGGTGGACACCCCACTTTGATTGGCGCGAGCCGGACCGGCAGTGCAGTTATCTTCCTGAAGGCGGCGCTGTGCCCCAGCTGCGCCGAAGGAGGCCGGCGTGCAGGAATTATGAATTTATTGGCTCCATTTGGTTGGTATTCCCTCTAAAAGGCTTCCAAATGTTAAAAGTTATTTTTATTGTTTTCCTTGACTCACCAAATTTCGCATTTGTCTCACCTTCTTTTGTCATTTTTTAAACTTTTCCTCTTTCCTCGTCTTTTCACTCCAGAACTTGTTTTATAATTGATGTCTATGTTTTCTGTTGCTTAGAGATGATCAGAAACTGCTTTGTGTCCAGGTCTCTAACTGACCTAGAAATGGCGCCACAGCTGTGTGTGACTTACAGCAATGAAAGATTTTTGTGCTAGCCAGAAAAAGAAAAGCAAAGCAAAACCTGAAGGTCCCAGTGTAGCACGTCTGGTTGTTCTGCTGGATTTATTGGGAGGAGATATGAGAAACCGCTTTTGGAATAATGCAATAATTGTTCTTTGGAGTTCACCTTACGCAAGGAGGATGTATCAAATAATTATTGGGGAGGAATTTTTTTCTGTCAATTAGTGTGGCCTTTTTCCACAAGAGTGCTTTCTTTTCATATTTCAAGGATCAAAGACAACAGCTCTTCTCTGTAAAAATATTTTTGAATAAAAAGTACCAATTCCGTTATAACCTCTTGGCAATCACACATCTTCTATTATTTCCAAAAGAAGAGGAAGACTGTAATAGGGTCTGGTTACGATTAATAATAGACTTGGTGAAGAAAAAGCCATCCAGACTTTAAAATACATGAGAGCATTCTCAATCTTGGTGAGTCTTGGTTCAGCTCATTAAGGAAGCCAGCTGCGATGCAGAGCGGCATACTGTTATGGTGACAGAGGAATTTCCCACAAGAGCTCTCTCCTAAAGGAGGCCAGTGTGTTTTTAGGTGAGCCCTGCCCACATCTGGACCATAGAAATGAACTGTGGGACAGAGGAGGTGAAATAAGAGTCAAGGCAAACAATAAAAATAACTTTTAACATTTGGAAGCCTTTTAGAGGGAATACCAACCAAATGGGGCCAATAAATTCATAAAACTAGAGAAGTGATTGAAAAATAATTTCAGTACAATCTTTAATCTCTGAAGAGCTAAGAGATGAAAGACAGGGAGTGGACACGTCTTCTTTTATGCGAAAGGCAGTAAGAAACAGATAAAACCTGGAGGAAGAGTGCCAGATTGCACTAGGACAAACTGCGCGCCAGGCGTCACCAGAAACGTAGCCAGGGAAGCTGTACAGACGCCTTTTATTTTTAAGAACGCATATACGGCCGGGCGCAGAGGCTCACGCCTATAATCCCAGCACTTTGGGAGGCCGAGGCGGGTGGATCACGAGGTCAAGAGACCGAGACCATCCTGGTCAACAAGGTGAAACCTCGTCTCTACTAAAAATACAAAAATTAGCTGGGCATGATGGTGCGTGCCTGTAGTCCCAGCTACCATGGAGGCTGAGGCAGGAGAATTGCTTGAACCCAGGAGGCGGAAGTTGCGGTGAGCCGAGATCGTGCCATTGCACTCCAGTCTGGGCAACAAGAGCAAAACTCCGTCTCAAAAAAAAAAAAAAAAAAAAAAAAAGAACGCATATACTGTCTTTTGTGAATACACTACATTTATTCTTGCTTACAAGCAGAAAGATAAACCAGCTAGTTCCTCGGGTTTCCTGTGATTACATATACCCTTCAATCATGGAATCACAAAGTTGACAGGGAGCTTTGGAGATCACCCACTTTATAAATGAGGATACCTGTTTTAATAATAGTCCAAGGTCAGGGGGGTAATAAGCAGCAAAGTTGAAGTACCAACACAGTTCTGATAGCCTCCAGTCCGTGGTTATTTTTCCACTCCACAAAACTACCTCCTTAGTTCATTTACACCAAATCCAGAAACTTAAACTCGACCCCATTGCCAGGTCTCACACCCATGTTGGCTTCAGGTAGCATTGCTATTAGCTTCGTGACTTCTCCAGTTGGGTGGGCCTTAGAGAGGACAGGTATGAGCATCCCCATCTGTGTTAAAACCCAAAGAAATTAAGAGCCTTTGCTGAGGTCAAAGCCAGCCTTCCCCAATCCCCCAGCTCTATGTGACATGACTTTCAGGGGCATTGCTGCAACTGGCTATTGACAGACTGTCTTCCCGTTTGTCTTTGTAGGTTTCACAGCGGCAGCCTCCCTCGTGTCCTTGGCCTGGGCCTTGGCCTCCTACCAGAAGGCCCTACGGGACTCTCGAGATGACAAGAAGCCCATCAGCTACATGGCCGTCATCATCCAGTTCTGCTGGCACTTTTTCACCATCGCCGCCAGGGTCATCACGTTTGCCCTCTTTGCCTCGGTTTTCCAGCTGTACTTTGGGATCTTCATCGTCCTTCACTGGTGCATCATGACCTTCTGGATCGTCCACTGTGAGACAGAATTCTGTATCACCAAATGGGAAGAGATTGTGTTCGACATGGTGGTGGGGATTATCTATATCTTCAGTTGGTTCAATGTCAAGGAGGGCAGGACACGCTGCAGGTTATTCATTTACTATTTTGTGATCCTTTTGGAAAATACGGCCTTGAGTGCCCTCTGGTACCTCTATAAGGCTCCCCAGATTGCAGACGCATTTGCCATCCCAGCGCTGTGTGTGGTGTTCAGCAGCTTTTTAACTGGTGTTGTGTTTATGCTGATGTATTATGCCTTCTTTCATCCCAATGGACCCAGATTCGGGCAGTCACCAAGTTGTGCTTGTGAGGACCCAGCCGCTGCCTTCACTTTGCCCCCAGAAATGGCCACAAGCACCCTACGGTCCATCTCCAACAACCGCAGTGTTGTCAGCGACCGCGATCAGAAATTCGCAGAGCGGGATGGGTGTGTACCCGTCTTTCAGGTGAGGCCCACTGCCCCATCCACCCCATCATCTCGCCCACCACGGATTGAAGAATCAGTCATTAAAATTGACTTGTTCAGGAATAGGTACCCAGCATGGGAGAGACATGTGTTGGACCGAAGCCTCCGAAAGGCTATTTTAGCCTTTGAATGTTCCCCATCTCCTCCGAGGCTGCAGTATAAAGACGATGCCCTTATTCAGGAGCGGTTGGAGTACGAAACCACTTTATAAAGCAAAAGGAGTTGCAGGAGCCACAACATCCAGATAAAGGGGTGACAGCGGGGCTGTGGCAGTAAGGACACTTCATCCTAGAGCGGGGCAGTGAGCTGTGAAGTTCCTAGTGTGACCGTCATCACCATTATCATTTGATCCTGTCGACTGGGAGCGGCTGGTCTCCTTCCAAAGCAGCTGCGCCCAAGAGTCTCTGATTCCACCTGAAAGAATGTCGCTGCCTTATAGGACTGTCCATCAATACCAAACTCCTCCTGCACGGTCTTGGGGTGCACCCACCAGACGGTACTATTATTATGGAAAATTTTGTCTTCAATCATTAGGGTGTCTTGATGGTGTTAACTTATCTTTCCATAAAAATAGATCCAGTCTAGCCGGGCATGGTGGCATGCGCCTGTAATCCCAGCTACTCTGGAGGCTGAGGCAGGAGAATCGCTTGAACCCGGGAGGCAGAGGTTGCAGTCAGCCGAGATCATGCCATTGCACTCTGGTTTGGGCAACAAGAGCGAAACTCTGTCTCAAAAAAATAGATTCACTCATGCACACATACACACACTAACACAAATAACACCAGTCCTCTGTCAAAATAGCTTAGGTGACTTTTCTTGATGCAAAGTTCTGATTCCCACAGGAATATAAAAACAAAGAAAGAATATATCCCATGAGAAAAAAAAATAGTACTGCTTAGAAAAGAATTCACAAACCATTTTCTCATTTGGAAATCCATACCATGTGTGAAAATCCTATCCAATGGACAGCAAACCCAAATGTTGTTTACACATATGTTAGCATTGATGGAATGGTTCATTTTCTCCATGTTTCAGGATTTGTTTAATATTTTAAATTTTCAGTTGTGAGCATCGTTTTTGACAGAAATCCTATGCAGCCCACGTACGGCTTTGGACAAGACCAAGGAGCTCAAAAACTTCATGATGTAAATTAAATAGTAATCATGATTCAGTATTCAATTGCAAAAATGTAATAGGTCTACAAAGAGGAAGTGGGGAAACGACTAAATGAGAGTCTGATTCCCAGGCACGTGCAGCTCCCACTGGGACATCACAGTAGAGCAGCGCGAGCCAGAGGGATGGGCTGGAACCAGATGTGTTTCCAGACGCAGAATGAGTGGCTCTGTGTGACCACGACTCTGGAGGACGCCATGCCACTCCTTTCTAGTGCCAAACACCGTCCAACCACAGGACTGACGTGGAAGCCCCGAACAACTGAGGATGAGTGGCGTGAGCCCCCTAAAAGCAGGCAAGAGAACGAACAATCACATTCTCCACTGTGTACAGACTTTCCCTCCCCTCAATCCAAGGTCAAAGTGATGTGTCTTTTAAAGGCTTTGGGACACATTTTAGTAAGTATGTGCAGACAAATGCAATGAATAGGTTACGAAAAAACCCTTCTGAACTGATAGAGGGCTTATCACTATATCCAGCTAAGATTTGTATTTGACTCATCTGTAAAGTCGCACTCTTACAACAAGCTTCTGGGTTTTAAATACCTCCGTACAGCAAGTAAACGTCCCCTGCTTTCTGTTCTCAGCGTCCTCCGTCATGGTGCTTTTCGTTGCATTAAAAGTGCCGGTCAAACTTTGATAGTATTTTTTTATAGTTGGTGCAGAGTGGAATAACTCATGGATTATTTCAATATTTTTGTAATAAAAAATATAGGGTATACACATAGGCATCATCACTTTTTTTATAGACCTGGAATCGTTTAAAATACTTTAAGCATCATAATCACTTGGGATGTCAGAAACTGGTCCACAAATTCCATCAGCCTGCCTCAGCAGATTGAAAACATTTGTCTCTTGCAAGATCACCCTACTTTGCAAGTTGGTGCCCCCAGGAACCTGGCCAGGGGTGCTATAAGAATATCAGGTGAAGAGAGAATCAGCTTAAATAGAAAGGGCTTGTCAAGACTGGCCAATGTTTCCCAGGAAATCAAAGATGTCAATGATTACTTTCATCCATCCATTATAACAAACCTGACCACAGTGGAAGATGTCTTAAACTTCCTTCCCTGGTTTTATATTAACCCAACTGATAGATTAAGTATTAGTCAAACCACTAAAAAAGAAAAAGAAAGAGTTTAACTTAATTATTCAGTTATTTGGACTAATTCCCATAAAGTAGTCCAGTTCTCTAGCTACCACCTGTAATGGGTGTGTCATCCAGAGACTGTGTCCCCACGATGACATCCACAGAAAGTAACAGAGGGCTCAATCTGGGACTTCTTTTGGTGCAAAGCCCCAAAGCAATTAAAAAAAAAAAAAATAGACAATTTTTATAAGTAGACATACTTCCTAATACTCCATGATTTGATCCTCCAAGCAAGATTTTCACTAAAAAATACTAATCTTTTGTTGGGATGTGGAAAGATTACGTAGTCACCAGTAAAGGCCCAAGCAAAGGCTCTTCCTGTCAACACATGGTGAAAACATTCCGCCCCCATTGTAGAAGGAAAAAATGATGATTTTGGCAGACTCTTCACTTTTGTGCAGAACCTTGAGTTATTAGCTTCATTGTTTCCAAGACAACTTTTAACTGATGATCTTTGGAAATTGAGTTTCTCAGTTGAACTATATACCTTTGATTCTATGAGTAAATCACAGATTACAATCTGGTAGAGTCAATCAATCAACACAAACCCAACAGGCCCCATCATGCTTCAATCATGTAAGTTCTAAGTTATTTCTCAACTTGATCCCTCTGTTAAGAGTCAGAATGAGTACTATGTCAATTTTAAATGGTGTACTGTTCTTTGACTTGGAGGTGAGGTTGGCAGTCAGGAGAATGTAAGGAAGTTGAATTTTTCAGTGATTTTCCAAATACTGTAAATACTCTGTTATCCAACATACCTGAAGATGATGATGTTTTAGTTAGGCATGAATTCTTGTTCAGGCAAGAACATATCCACCGTGTGATGAATTACAACCTTTCAAAAGATTACAAGAGCAACTTACTCTAGAGATAAATCATGATTTAGCCTTGCTTCCATGATTCAGGAAGCACTACACTGCCATCAGACTGTTGTGGTAATAACAACTTTTACTCATTTTCTACATGAAAATCACAGATAACAGATAACAGAGAGTTTAAAGTATTCGGATTTAAAGAGACATCATCAATGTACAAAGAAACAGAGTTTGATTTTTGTATTTATATTATAATTCTAATATTTCCTTTTCAATCTGCCGTTAAATCCTCCACAGACAGTAACTGGAGAATCCCAAAGAAAAAAAAAATGGAAATGCTGTGTTCGTTATCTGCAGGCTTGTTTCCGTGTCTGAGTCCATTTTGATTCCATTTCAGAGGGAGATCTGCTCTTACTCAATTTTTGCATAGGAACAAGAAATTTTCTAAAGGAACAGCATTATAATTTGTTTTATTTTCAAACTTGCATTTCTAAATATGAAACCATGTTTAATTAATATATATAATGTGCGTATGCATATCTTAACCATAGTAACACTTTAAGTATCTGTGTGAAAGAAAAGGACTTTTTCCACGAAAGTCAAAGTTTGGTCCTCCAAAATGGCTGTGTCCTTTAAATCCTCTTTGCTTATTTACTTAACTACGTACTGTCTAGTTCAGTAACACCGTCTTTGCAGACACTTAGTTGCTACTCATTTATGATAAATGCTGTTAGCCCAATCAATTTAATAAATTCTCTTACTGACATGGCACGAAAATGTAATCCAAGAATTAGCACAAGATGCTCTACAAAGTAAAATGAACTATTTATGGTTAATTTCTAAATGCCCAATTTATTTTGCTCTATGAGTAAAGGAAGTGATCGCACAGACCAATCACTTCTGTGCATGGGAATGATTGAAAGCTCAATGGCCTTTTTAAAAAATGATATGTATATATAATATATGCCTTTTTGTACATACATTTATATGTATGTATACTCACACACTTTCCAACTAAAGTAACAGGGACGAAGAGGATAAAGTATATACTGCTTTCGAATGCATATAAAATGGTGTGTTATTGACACACAGACTTTTAGAGAAGAAGCATTTTCCTACTTCTTTTTCAAAACAAACCCAAGCTTACAGTCCATGTATAAGACCAACACTTTCGAACTTCAGTTGGAAATCCCTACATATAATTCAGCACTTCTTAGTTCAAATGAGCTTTATCACTTCTTAAGGATCTCATCTTTTAAACAGCTGAATAAAATATTTCTGTGTCATTTCAAAGTTTCTTTCTCTGAACAGACTGAATTGAGCAAAGGAAACCTCTCTGTCCTTACCAGGATTGCGTAAGGGTACACATTTGCTTTTAAATGTACCAAATGCCGTTGAATGGAAACAAGTCCTGACACAATGTTTAGACAAGAATCCAGAGATTTTTTTTCTAATGAACCATTTTCTAGACTAAATATACGCTCTCTTGCATTTTCCACATATCTTTGCTATTAGCCATTGCTGTTTCTGTATAAAGCTTGGATAAGACGCCTGCATTTTTATGTGCTAACGAGAACTCTTTAAAGCCTTTTTAAAAGTAGCTCAGACTGTCATTCAGATTATAGCTCAGAGGATGGTTGAAGTGCATGGTGAAAACATAGCAGGGCTGGGTGGTCATTCCTGTAATTTCAGTGACGGATGCAGATCAGCGTTCCTTTGTCTCGGCAATCCAATGTCATTTTTGAAAACAATCAAAATGATCGCCTTGTGTCAGCTTCTGACTCGTAACACTCCTTCTCCCACCTGATGCTCCAGTGTTTCAAAATGGCCAAGGCTGGGCAATTCCACTCTATTCCCCATTTCTGCTCGTCCAGACCTGTAACAGGCCATGAAATGCCCTGAGCATTCATTCGACTGGCATCTCTCCTCCTCACACAGGCACCTGGGTGGCAGCATCAGGCCACCGCAGAGCTCTCCTTGTTGACATATGTCTTGTCTAGTTGCTGTCCTAAAAATGGGCACGTGGCAAGACTCTCAAATAACAGCCTCTACAGTATCATCACTCATTCTAAAGTAAAACTGCAGAATATGGGTGGAATTGTATAAAAACATAATGAGCCATTTAATTTTGCTAATTGAAGCAATTAGGCTAGCACGCAAGCAGGCTGCTCTCACAGCGGAAAGCCACATGGAGGAAGTGCCAAACAGCCATTTGCCCACGGAAATGAGGGGTTCAGAAACTCTCTCTAGAGTGTTTGAGGTGTCACGTTGTTTCATCATCCATCTGAAGCTCTTTCTCTAGATTCCACATGGAAAAAAAAATCAGATTTCATATATATATATATATATGAATATATGCCTGCAATATTTTATATATATATATATATATATATATATATATATGTATATTGCAGGCAGTAACCTAGCCCACAAATGTAAAACTTTAGTCAACCTTGAGGCCTATATTCTGCTAAACAAGAGATGGCTTAATTGTCCCTGAAATATTTTAATAATATACTGACAGCCTACGTGACAAACCAGCTGCCTAAATCGAGTTTTGCTTTTGGGTATTTCATTTCCCTGTAGATTTTCTTTCGGTTCCGTCTCCCATATTGAGAGTAGCTCACTACAGTGGAGGGTTTATTGCGTTACCTAATGCTGGGCTAAGAGCTGTATCTGTGTGGTTTTCACTGAGTCCTCACTGTCATCTGTGAGTTAAGTGTCATTTACAGATGACAAAACTTCGGCTTAGAGATGTCAAGCAATTTGCCCAAAGGTCCCACAAATAGGAAAAAGTGGGGCCAAGAGTTGAGCACACGTTTTAACAACTGCGACTTCCAGAAGCCCAGCGACTCTTCCCACAAAATCTATTTCTGATTTGGCAAGTCTTCAGAAGAAGCAGGATCATGGTCTGATGATCAAATTTTTCCTCCAAAAAAAGTATTTAAACGTCAAAGATGTCTTTCAAAATGAAGAGTTAAAAATGTCATAGTCGATGATGAGACATGGAAGTCTCAATCACCTGTAACTAAATTTTACCTTTACTCTCTAACTCGTAGTAGGAAGATAAATGCTATTGTTCCATTCCAGGCAACTGCCCCCCTTCTATAGCTCCACTATATTCAATTAAGTGACAAATATAAATTAACCTGATGCCACTTCTCTTATATATATATATATTTTTTTTTTTTGAGACGAGTCGCTGGGATTACAGGCACGCGCCACCATGCCCAGCTAATTTTTTGTATTTTTAGTAGAGACGGGGTTTCACCATGTTGACCAGGATGGTCTCGATCTCTTGACCTCGTGATCCACCCGCCTTGGCCTCCCACAGTGCTGGGATTACAGGCTTGAGCCACCGCGCCCGGCCACTTCTCTTATATTTTATATGTGTATGCTGCTGTCATCCAGTTAAGCAAACTGAAAAAACAATCTAAACCCCACTACTTACTTTGGCATTCTGATGAGATAAAGAGAGAAGGAGGGAGGGAGAGAGGGTGGAAGGGAGAGAGGAAGGAAAGGCAGGCAGGCAGGCAGGCAGGCAGGCAGGCAGGCAGGAAGGAAGGAAGGAAGGAAGGAAGGAGATCTAACAAGTCTTTGAGGTGATGGTTTTATATTATAAGGTAATTCTGTTTCACTGTCATAATTTTTCCCTAAATTTTGTTTAATATCTTGCAGGTCACAAAATTTAATATTTAAGAGGATTATTAAACCACTAGCTTTAACGATCATATCAGTCTAGGAACTTTATCTTAGTGCTAGATACAAATATTACTGCAAGTATAGACCAAATATTTGTTGAATGAACTTATAAAATAATTGATGTGTTCTTTCCCTTCTCATTTAGATGTAGCATGTCTGAAGGTCTGCAAGATGACAGAGTTGTAACCCATTCAATGATGTTATTGCCTAGTAAGCTGGTGTGTGTTGTATGAACTGATACTAAAAAGGTAGCCGATAATAAACCAAAAATTTTCTCAACACTGGTGTTTATGTTTAAAAAATCTTCAACGATCAATATGAACGTAATGTATTAAAATACAAGTAACTATCTTTGTACTTGATTTAAGCAGATCTTTATGAATTTATGTAAAATTAGAAGTCACTGATTTTTACAGGAAATAGCATGTAAAAGAAATCTAAATGTTGCTTTGTCACTTTATTTTATAGATCAGACAACTGAGATCCAAAGAGAACAGGTAATTTATATAATCAGGTTTACACAGGACACTTCTGTTTTTTCCCTGAGTCATTTATTCAACAAGTATGACCTCTATGACTCATATGGCTAGGTAATGCACAGTCAAGCACAAAAGGAAAGTTACATTGGAATAACTCACAGTCTGGTTATTAGCAGCGCAATCATAGCTTTCTGACATCAACTCTTACTCTTTTCTACGCTACCACACTGCTGTTTCTCTTCTCAACATCTATATTTAACTCCATATTACAGCACGAAAGAAACACAGCTTTCCTAAGACTATGCAGTCATGTGTCACTTAAGGATGGGGATACGTTCTGAGATATGCATCTGCAGGCAGTTTCATCATTGTGGGATGGAATGCGCTTACACAAGCTTAGATGGTAGAGCCTGCCATGCGCCTAGGCTGTATGGTAGAGCCTATTGCCCCTAGGCTACAAACCTATACAGCATGCTACTGTACTGAATACTGTCGGCAATTGTAACACCATGGTAAATATTTGTGTATTTAAACACAGAAAAGTTACAGTTAAAATACAGCATTATTGTCCGATGAGATCGTTGTCATATGCACAGTCTGTTGTTAACCAAAAATCATCGTGTGACACATGACTGTATTAGGTAAGCCTCACAGTAAACAATTATCACATAAAGTAATGATGACAAACATGAAGTAACAACACAAATACAAAACACTCAATACTGGATGAGTGCCTAGGAGAAGTATTTTATAATTTGTTTATGTAACTCTCCAACACTAGATATTTTAAAATTGATGTCACAATGCAATAACAAAAAAATTAAAATACTCTCTTGGCACGTAGTATGTGATTGAAAACAATCATTTTTGGATAAACTTTGGAGCGATTCTTGAGAATTTCTTTCAAGAAAAGGCATGAAACTGAAGAGTTTGCAAAAATTCTCTGATTTCTCAAGAAAGCACTCTTCACTTAACTGTATTTCTCCAGCATACTGGTCATTTAGGAATAACAAATTTCCAGACATAAACGTCAGCTGTTGCTCAAAAGCCTTTCCTCAGATGCCCAGAAGAGCAGCACATGCTGAGTGACAATGTCAGGAGTCAGGAGAGCCAGCGCCAGCTCCCTGGGGAAACCCACACCGGCTTTGTCCCCATTTCCATTCTCTCCTGCAATTCGGCCCTGAGTGATTGGCTTCACACACACGTAAGGAGTATGTTGTTAAACATCACTATTAACCTATATAACTAATTTTCCTTATGTGAAATAATTCTTGTCAGGGAATGGGACATGTATAAGCCCATTGGCCTTCTATGGAGTAGAAGAAAAGAGGGAAGGAAGTGTATTAACTTTTATGAGTACAGTATAATTCAAAGAATTCCTTGGTGAGTCACATTATGCATTAATAAAAGAGTTGACCTAATAAATGTTACAAGTACCATGATTTCTAGGTTCATGCCACCATTACCACATTCCTTACTACAATTATTGCTATTTTAGTCACTGGACCAGACAAAAAGAAGCAGGTAGTTACCGATATAGTATTTGCTAAGCAAAGATCTTGTTTAACAAAGCAAATCAATATCAAAACTAATTAATCAGAATATTAAGCAAATATTACAAACACAGTACTGACACAAAATTTTCTCTTGTGCTAGTAATTGAAGCATGTCATCTACTGTTATTAGAATTTCAGAAAATATAAAGTTTTGTGTTTGTATTATATTTCCATCTACCAAATTAAGTTGGCCTTCTCCTCTCCATTGCTTGATTTACATTAAAATGGATTTAATCACATTATTACTTCATTTAAGTATTACAAATGTTACCAGATAGAGATGTGGTTAAGCTAATTTAATTTACGCATTCTAGTGGCATTCTAGTATAGAGCTGCATCAGATCAACACTTTTAATTATTTCAGATTAATTCATTTATCAACAAGTTCTAAAACACTACTACATGTGTTGAAAATATAGTTTGGGTTTCTATGACTGTAATCAAAATTTCTATTTTGATCACACGCCAGTAAAACGCATCTTAACACCAGCATTGCAAGCTATTGTGATTCTGGAAAATGAGCACTTTGTGTGTTGAGCACTGCTGTATTCACTTAGCAATTAACCTTTGACCTGTCGTTTTCTGCTGACCCCCTGGTGATGTTTTTCACTCTATTCAAATTGGGAGCAATAACGCACCTTCACATAACCAAAAGAGGCCTGTCAGCTAGTGAAAGAATTGTCATTTTCTATCATTCTTTTAAAAAATTAAAATATTCAACCTCCCTTATTAACCTTTCCACTGCATTGTACATAAAAGAGGAAATGGATTTCTGAAGTATGTTTTGAAAGCCTGGGGCGAAACATTTTCTGCGGTCTGAATCAGAGGTTTGGGACTCTGTGGAAAGACGTAAATCCCTCCTGCTGCAGGAGGAGGGAAGGCGGCAGTGAGCTGTCACTCAGAAATACAGTCTCCGCTGTCACAAAGCTGCATGTTGCTGATGGTATCGATTCCCTTCTTTTTCTACAGAAACATCTTGGAGCTTGTCAAGCTTTACTGGAGGTGATTTGCAGTTAACTAATTCAACAGACCTTTAATCTTGCAAATTCTTGACTTGTAATATTGTAACCAAGCTCCTGCAAGGGAACATTAATCAGTGAGTGGAAAAGGAGCACTTCCATTCAGCCTCAGCCGTAGTTCCACCACGTGCCCAGGCCTGAAGAAAGACCTCTGTGAAGCGGAGCCTAGTGAATTCCTGCTACCTGCTTCTCTTGCTAATGCTATGAATATTCATCTGCTTCCTTTGTTTTTTCCAGTAAGCGCTGTTTTGAAAAAAAAAAGAAAAAAAAATTCCTGGGGCTTGCATAGCTCAGAGAATGGGATACTCCGCCTTGGAGACTTGCTTTAAATGGATTCAAACCCACATGTTTGGAAATGAAAATAATGTCACTGTTACCTGTGGAATAACTGATCTGAGTACAGTTGCTGCTTTTATTTCATTTCTTGAGACTACCATTTTCAGCATTGTAATAACCAATTTATAAAAATTGAGTTTTTATTTAATTTCAGGGGTAAAATCTGCATGGGTGTAGCTACTGAATAATTTGATTCCTGCCTTCCTAGGTGGTGACATCAGCAGTTCCAAACCGAGATCCTTTTCTGTGTGGAATCGGCTATCCTGTTGCTTCTCAGCCCTGCAAAACCTTGGTTACGAGCTCAAAGATCACAAATCCGTTGTTCTTAATGACTAAATTTTCACTTAGAGGGAAACAGGTGGTCTCTTAATTTAAGACAGGGTTCTTTCTCCCTTGTTTCTGGTTTTTTTTTTTTTCCTTCAAAGCACGATTTGAGTTGCAAATTAAGAATGAAGCTAGCAGGTCATAATTTCAGAGTATGTGAGAGAATGAGGCCTCCAGATGTTCTTGTAAAGTTTTCTGTCTAATCTTTTGGTATAACAATTTCAGGAGTTAGCCCTAGATGAAAGAGTAGAAGTCATCAGATTTTTCAACAAGCAGTCTAGAGGAAGATTGAGAAGAGGCAAGGATTTTCTTGGGTTTCGTAGATGTTTCTCCTCCCTAGGCTCTCCCCTTGGCGGTCATCACCACGATGTCTAATAGCAAGCACTACTGAATGATCTTCCCAGTTATCCGCACTAGTATCACAGCAAGTCTGTTTTTAGAACTAGTTCTTGGCACAAGCGCCGAAATAAAATTGGGGGGAAAAGCGGTCTACCACCATGTGACTTATTTTCAATTTCCAGGCAGTGAAAAGTAACAAGTTAAAGAAAATGTTCATTTTCTGAACCCCAGAGTCCAGGTAGGTACAAAGATACTGTAATATACAATGAGGCGGCCAATCGTGGGGATGTAGGAGCTATAGACAGCCCTCTTGAGCAAGGTTTATGGGTAAGAGTTACTCTACCGTGATTGGGTGTCGGGTCAGAGGGTTTCTGTTAAAGTAGAGGACCAAGTATAGTGATGAAGAGAAAACCTGCCAGTGGTTCATCCAGAGTATTTGCCTTTTCACAGAGCAGAGAAGTTCAAGATTGTCACTGCCAGTCCATGACTGTAACAACAGACATATCCCCTTTGGAAAGGCCAGGGCCTGACCCAAGTGGGAAGATGGAGATGTCGGTGGTGTCATGTCTAAGACTGACGCTCTCATTAAGGGAACTCATTCCCTCCCGATAGTTCTCCTTGACCATTGGCCCCTCTGGGCTCTGCAGGAGAGCTTCTGATGGGTTTTAAGATAAGGTTTTTTAAGGTATTGTTAAGTCACTCTTGTTTGTAGAGCATGAACCATTTAACCATCCCTCCTTTTAAGAGCAACGAGATTCAGGGTTACCATGGCCTTACTCATGTTCCCACTGTAAATATATCATGATGTCACAAGAGCCTCTGTGTCCAAATGTACTAAACTGGGTTTACAAGCATTCAAATCTTTCACTCATATTGTTAATCTCAATTGTGCCAGTCACCTAGTCTATCTGTTCCCAAACTGGAAAAGAATAATTTTTATGAAAATAATTTTCAGAATAATGGGAGTGGAAAGAAATAGTTAAGCAATTTTTCAACACAGACAAAACCACTGGACCATTGATACCCCTCAAGCTCTGATTTTTCATCCTAAGTTTCTTTTCTTTTGGGGGCTTTCAACACCTGAATTTTCCAGATGATTGCTGAACCATCTTCACTAAACCAAAGTAGACGAGTTGTTGATTAAAAAAAACAAAGACTGTCTGCATGACTGTAAATATTGTGATGAAAAGTGGCGAAGTAGGTCACTCACGTGGTAAACTTGGTCTTCATGATATCAAACATATGGATATTTGGAAAAGTCAAGATGTTTGAAGCATACAGTTTTCTCTCTGGGTGTCTGGTGTCATTCTAGATAGACAGACTGCTCAGGTGTTGTAAGTAATGGAATTGAACTTTCTCGCGCAGTAAGCAATTGCTGGTCATATTCTGCTGCTAAAAGTCTCTTTGTTGTGCAAAGAGAAATAATGCAGAGCAAATGTTATTTAATTTTTATTTGCTTTCGGCAAACACATAAATGGAAGAGGTCAGGCGGGCTGTCCTGGGCGTTCTGGGCCTGGCTGAGGCGCGCCTCTTTCACTCTGCCCCTGCCAGGGAAGAAACTTTCTATTCGGTCTTTGCCATCTTTTATAAATTTTATCATTGCTCTTCTGCTGTTCCTACCATCTTAGTTATTCACAAAGTCTACTTGATAAAATGGCTCGAAGGAAATAGAAGTTTGTTAAGTTTTTGTTCTTCAAATAGAAGTTTTAATTTTAAGCATTCCTTATGATATATTTTAAGCCTAAAAACAGTTCAAATTGCTTGACAAAATTATTTCATGGTGAATTTTATGGTGTTAATAGAAGTAAAAGCTATTTTTCCTAAACAAAATACCGTACATAGTTTTTTGGGTTTTGTTTGTTGATGTCATGCCAATTTTCAAGCACCAACTGGTTACCACAAATATGGGAATATTTAGTGATTTCTTTGTAGTCATCATTAAAATTCCTGGGGAAAAAGAAAAAATTTACATCAAAGGAAAATTCACCTCCCAGAAGTTTGAAACGTTCATCCTGACTCTTCCATTCCCAATTATTTGTGGACATTTCTTCATTGTGACAGTAAGAAGTCGATCTTGTTTCTCCTGATTTGACACTGGGTTGGTGAGCATTGTCTCAAATTTTGTGCTAACCTCGTTTACGATCCTGAAGCTTAGCGGAAAAACAGGTAAACTATTCAGACCCATTTTCTTTAAGAGCACTTTTGCTGCAGAACTTGATACAAATGACTGACCATGCGTAGGCACACAGAGAATGGAAAGGTATTCAGCTATGCAAAGATAGTGAAGGGATTTCCAGAGAAAGCCTAACGTTTTGAAGATTTGTAGGTAGGGTTTTGATTGTGTCAATTCTACACTCAGTGCCAAGTTAGAATGACTTTATGGGGAAGGCAATAAAATTCCTCGTTGGGGCCTTTCTTCCCTCACAGGCAGAATGTTTTCATGAAAGCAAATGGATCCTCCACTATGTGTAGCAAAAAATTCATCCCCCCCATGCCCCACAGCATCATCACTGTCAGTCCCATCGCAGATGTGTGTACCAGCCCAATTCAGTTCTGCTTTTCTTTTTACCTGAGATCTTTACTTCACCAAATCCCATTTGAAATCTTTTTACCTTCATGTTACCCACAGGATGCTTAGTTGAATCAGCAACAATGAGGTGACAATCAACTGGCCTCCACAAAAGTATGAGTCATTTTATTCCTGATCTTTGGTAGTGTGATAATCAATGGAATTTACGGTGTCGTAGAAAACCAAAAATCCCTGTGTTGAATATAGTGACTGTCTTAAATATACTTAAATATCTTATTCTACAAAACGATATCCTTTTACACTATGGGATGGATTCCTTTCTGGATGCAGGGATGGGAGGGCTCTGGGTCAGTGATTGGAACAAAGGAACTGGGAATCTCTGCATGCCTGATCTCCAATCCCTGGTCCATCTCTCCAGCCTTGAAAACTCACCCTCAGCCTCATTTTTCCCGTATGCAAAAGAGAGATATTTATTTACCTACCTCATAGGGGTGTTGTAGAGATTAGCAAGTGCTTGTAGGTTAGAAAGCGCTGTCATTCCTGAGAACTGGCATTAACAGAGGAGAGCTGTGCACAGTGCGGGGTAACTGGAGTCTGAGGAACACAATAGCAATAACTCACCAAGCAGAGAATACAATGGTTCTTCACCACTATGTAAAAGTAACGCTTTTCCTTCAAAGGTCTATGTACTAGACCTTTAATCATTAATCTTCAATGATTAACTTTTTAATGAGACAACTCCCTTTTGTCCAGACATTGAGAGGCTTCATGTAAATTGACCATTTTCCTCTTAACCAAACTGAATTTTACTAAATGTTTATTAAAATGCATCCAGAAAACTTGTCTCCTTCTGATGCCTGGGGGATTTGCATGCCTGATCCCAAGCTGTTTTTTTCAGAATGCGTGCATAATGCCCCAGTTCTGTACTCATGATCACCAGGTGGCGTTCTGATATCCACTACCGGGGGAAGATTTTTAACAGCTATCAGTGAGATTAGAGTTGGAGTCATTTCCATTGAGTTTCCTCTTCACCCCCAAGATGACACAGCTTTACAACCCAATAAAAGAACGTAAAGCCTTATTTCCACCTGGAACTCCTGAATTGATTCATTTTCATGTTATAACCACATTTCAAATATTTTGGAGAAGCTTTTACACAGGGCCTCAGATATATATTGATATAAACGTGCTTACTTGTGCTTAGATGGAAATTCTACTGAAGCATAAAGGAGACAGTGAAAAAACGTCAGAGAATATTCCTGCATAACTTCCCCAAAAGTGACAAGTTTTCTTGTACTTAAAAGTTTAATCCTGATAAGAACTAATGCTGAATAACATGATTTTGGTTTATAAATATTTGTAATTTTTGAGACATAGAGGCAATATTGCGATATAGGAATACACCCATAAAACTAGACTAGCAAAGCAGATGTTTTATGATGTGGCTTATGAGGCAAAGTTGTACATCAATATTATCATTGTGCCCTTACTTAATGATTAGAGTCCATTGTGGAAAAAAATTGCATAGTCTTAGAAATGTAAAATGGGTTTCGGAAAGTTTACCTTGAGAAGTAGATTTGAAATCATCTTGTGCTTATAGCTGAAGATTCACACTCAGCATAATCTCTTCTGGATTCTAAAATATAATTGGCAGTGATATTTCAAATCCTTCACATTTTTAGATGGTTAATTAAACGTATCTAATGCATGGTATTAAACTTTCTGAAGCATGAATTTAACCTAGGCAATTATCTGATTTATTTTTTTTAAAGTTTGTGCTGCCATACCAGATTGAAGTATTGTTTTTATAAACTAATAACATGAGAATAGTGAGTCAAAAAATAATTGGGATTGTCCTTTTGCCCCCTCCCAGTTCCTAGTCTCAGAAATCTCCCAACCGGAAGTACAGCAGAATATCCTTCTTGCTATGAAGGGAAATACTGTGTTTTTATTTGTTTTGCACAAGAAAACTGGTGTTGCCTATTTGGACTAGACACAGGGGCCTGGAGGAAGGGAGTGGCAGCTTTGCAGGTGGGGTGACCAGGATGGGAGGAGGAGAGTTGGGTGAATATATGGGAAGATTTTACCGCAGAGACAAAACAGAATTGCAGCGTGTTAAAGCCGGACAATGCTTTGAAATGATAGAGGCTAGACTCTTCACCAGACAGATGAAAAGACAAGTGGAGACAACATGCAACTGAGATATAAGCTACATATCTCATCACTGGGGGAAAGGAGACTTCAGCCTCTTTTCAAGGCTTTCTAGACCACACGGAACTCCCCAGAGCCCTCCTTGAAAATAAGAAACTCTTTTAGAAAAACCAAAAGTTTTCAGCAAAGATTCATGTGGTTATGCTGCTGAGGACCAGTCATTCTGTAAACATCACATATGTGATGCTTTCTAAATGTATTAATTGTTGTCAACATTCATAGCTACTTCCCATTAACATTTTAGTCCATGAACTAGTGATAGAAACAATGGAAATTTTCTTTTGATCAAAAGAAGTGTCTCCCAATTAATTTATGTCTGTTAGTACTCCTGACATATTATTGTCATCACAAGATTTCTTTTATATCTAGATGCTATCAGATAAGAAAAGAATGAATCCTTTGGTCGATTTCTTATTGAAGATTCCATCTAAAGCCTTTCTTTAGTAATGAGGGCAGAAAGAGACCATAGCCATTCTTGGATGAGAACCTTGCCTCTACTAAATAGTTTCTGCTTTTCCTCTCAGTGGCCAGACAGCTCAATAGCCTAGGGACAGATTCGATGAAGGATATGCAAATTATGTTTTTCCCATTCTCAGAACAAGACAGCAACCAATGAGCCAGAGGTTCCTTTCCTCTTTAAAACCAAATAGTACACTGAATTTAGGGCTATGACAAAAATGTTGTTAAAGCAAGAGCAAAATCATCCTTCCTGTGGATTCTTTTCTAGGTGGTTACTAAATTCTTTTTGCAGTTTGGATGAGTTTCTAGTAATGATAATTAATGCCATTTTACATGATAGCTTCAATGCAGATATGGTGTGAGCATGAGTTACAAATGAGATGATGAGGGTTACAAACTTCATCTGTACTGACATTCTACCAAGCTGACTGGAAACAAATACCACCACCACCAACATTCTGATTTAATTAATAACACCTAGTAGAAAAATAGAAGCATCTTGCTTAGCATGAAACCATTGCACAATATAAACGTGCTCCCAAATGGCAAGGATTTTTCCTACCAACATTTGTTCTTCATTCTCCAGTTATTTTAAGTAAGTTTCACATCTAACTACCTCAACTACTGTTGTTTTATTTAGAAACATGAAACCATGCACTTTGTAATCAACAGGTTCTTTCATTTAAAATTTCAAAAGGATACTTGGTGCAAAGCAATTTTCTGAAATTTGTACATGATATACGCCACCCAACCTCAGGAGGTTGTCCTTAATTTTGTTTGTTTGTTTCTAAGGTTGGTTTTGGGTAAAATCCTCATTTCCACTCAACACCAAGATAAGCTGCTCTGAATTTGCTTAATTTGCCTTAAACATTTTGTGCTCCTTTCCCTGTTCAATTTTTGTTTTGTTTTGTTTTCTTTTAAATCTATCTCTGAAAAAAATGGAACAGGTGGCAGGTGAACAGCAAATGGAAGAGAATGGACCAATAATTTCTCAGTCCCCTGTTGTCAACTATCTGCATGACATTCTGATTGTGCAAAAATGCCATTCTTGTGCTTCCCTCTCCATTACAGAAATAGGGTCCACGAGACCCCACGTGTGTGCGTAGGGAACGGTGTAGACATTTCCCCAGTATGAGCACAGTGCCTGGACCCAAATGCTCATCTTGGCAGTTCTTGTGCTTTTACTTTGTAAACATTGTACAAATGTATTTGGAGTTTTATTTGAAATGGAGACTTAAACTAGTTATTAAATTTATTTCCTTCCTGTAAATATATATATTCAAATTCCATGTATCCAAACATCCCTTTAGCGTTCAGATTGTAAATGTGTCTTTATTCGCGGGAGGCCACTGTCAGCAGCAGTGACCCCCAGTGCCCTAGTTTGAAGCACAGTGCGTGGAGTATTTGATGTACTACAGTACCATAGTTATTTTGGTCTGTTAAGTAAGTTGCAATTTGTGATGAAATGAAGTGGAAAGTAGTACTTCATAATGAACCATTTTCCTTGGTTACATGATTTTTCTTGTAAAACTTAAAGAAAAAAAGGAAAACTTGAAATTTTATATATTTGGATTTTGTAGGTTTTTTTTTTTTATTTTATTGCAACACAAGGTACCAAAATCATTAAATAAAGTACACTGTGGTCATTTTAACAGCAGTCTGTGTTCCTGATTCTGTCTAAGTCTAGGAAGAGGGCAGGACACCATGGGTGTCAGATGGGAAGGGAACGGAGGAGGCCATGTACACAGGCGCATTCCCAAGGCAACACGATGTAAGTCTGAAATAAGCAAAGCTGAGTTCTGTCAAATTTTAAATACATTAAAAATTAAGTTACATCTCTTTTTAGTATATGTTTTATTTACTTATTTTATTTCTGAGAAGTCCTAAAGGGTATTCCTCTGGAACTACTATAAAAGTAAAGAGATTTTCAGATCACAAAGAGGCTTAAAATCCAAATAAATTGTTCAATCATTAATAAACAGAAAAATTGTAATGGACAAAAATACTTTTTTTTGAGACAGGGCCTTGCTCTGTCACCCAGTCTGGAGTACAGTGGCACCACCAAAACTCACTAAAGACACAACTACTGGGCTCAAGTGATTCTCCCACTTCAGCCTCCCAAGCAGCTGGAACTACAGGTGCACGCCACCACAACTAGCTAGCTTTTTATTTTTGTGGGGACAGGGACTTGCTATGTTGCCAGGGCTGATCTCAAACTCCTGGCCTCAAGAGATCCTCCCACCCTGTCCTTCAAATGTGCTGGGATTACAGGTGTGCGCCACTGTGCCTGGCCCAAAGGTACTTTTTAAAAGAGTGTGTGTCTAAATGTTTGTTTTTTCTAAAAAGCAGTGCTATATTTTATGTAATTGTTTTCATAAAATATCCTATTTCCATTTTAAAGAATTTTTCTATTTTCTGTACCGTTGGTAAGAGTTCTACTGGTTTACAAAAGCCTTCTTTTATAAAATGACGAGTAGTAACTGTACCGTAACAGCTGACTCTATATGTAGACGTCTCTACATATAGATAACGACTATTAATAAAAACAAATAAGGAAATAATCAGAAGAAACAAAGAAATGAAAAAAAAAAAAAGGTCAAACATTCACTGGCACTTTTTTAAAGTCAATTATTAGGGCCTGATTTTTATAATGGTAACACATGTTAAATGCACAAACACTAGAAACTCACCATTGGAACATACTGCTTTCTAGTCTTTTTTACAAGCATTTCTATTTTTTACTCTTAATTTAGTTAACATTAAAAAAAATCACAACTATGTGCCATGCAGGTATTAGTATTAAAAATATGACTAAAACACATTTTCTTCTTAAAGTAGAAAGCATATTTGGTGATGCAAAGGTGGAGACGTGCACAGGCTTTGATGAGCGCATCTGACAGAGTCTGCAAAGGGTTGGGGTGGAAGAGGGAGCCACACTGAGAAGGGAGCCTGGGTCCCGAACCAGTGGATGGAGCAGAGTCCCTGCCCCGCCCTCGCTGAATTAAAACAGACATGAGCAAAATATAACCTTCTACTAGGTAGACTCACTGACATTTGGGGTTGTTTGTTATAGAAGTTAGGCTTTTACAACTTTTACAGGAACATTCCATGGACCAGAGAACTATAAGGAACTCAAGTTGGAATATGATTAGCTCAATTCTCTCTACCTGAAGTCCAAAAACAAAATGGCTATGCATTTTCCATGTTCTCTACAATAAGTAGATATTGTTATTATAATCTGAAAATAAACAAAATTCATATTTAAGGGGAATTTTTAAAAAAGAAAAGCACACTAAAATCCTGAATTTGAAAACTTAATTTAGTACAGAATGTAATTTGCCCCTAATTAATCTAGAAACATGATACAATTCCAAACAAATCTACAAAGGTATTTTATAAAGCTTTGCAAAATGATTACAAACTTTATATAGGGCCAGGCACAGTAGACCATGCCTGTAATTCCAGCACTTCGAAAGGCCAAGGAGGGAGAATCTCTTGAGGACAGAAGTTCAAAACCAGCCTGGGCATCATAACGAGACCCTGTCACTACAAAATTTAAAAAAAAAAATTTTTTTTTTAATTAGCTGGGCATGGTGGCACACCCTCTAGTCCCAGGTACTCAGAAGGCTGAGGTGAGAGGCTCACTGAGGCTCAGAAGGTCAAGGCTACAGTGATCTGTTATAGTGTCACTGCATTCCAGCCTAGCCAACAAAGAGAGAGACCATTTGCCTTCCCAACTATTATAAGTAAGAGTGACCACAAGAGTGTGCTACCAGCACAGGAATGTATAAATCAATAAGCCCCTTCCCCACAAAAGAAGTCCAGAAATAGAGTCTACACATATTAATAAGTGAATTTAGTATATAATTTAAAATCATTGAGAAAATAATGGCCTCTTCAACAGAGGGTCTTGGGATAACAGACTCACCACTACCAACATCTCCTTA